CCTGTAAATCAAATGATGTTCTGGTGGCTTGGAAGAAGAGGTTATATTACAAGTAGATTGCAAAATGTAGTTGTCATTGGGAAAGGCATTGGAAATTTTATTAGGGAAAGCTTCGTTATGCCAAGGTAATTTCTATACTTGAGGGTAGTGTACAGTTGGAGCCAAGGGCTTCTACACGGGTACAAGAGTAGAGTATAGGTACATAGTTTAGTGTCACTTATGTATGGGCTCAAAATTTCGGTCATGGATATACTGTCTTAAAAAAGAACACAAATACTGACCATGACATTTATGAAAATTATCGACTTTATTACTGCGTTTTTAAAGATTTATGGGATCATGAATGTTTGATTATCTTGTCCTTTTTCAGACAATTTTAGTATGAGTGCCTTCAGGATTACTATTAGATCTTTTAAATTTATAAATCTTGCTGTACTGAAGTACTCAGTAAAATGAACTTTTTCTTATACTGTCTTAATATTGCAGCGAGTAGATAGCTTACAGTTTAGTGTGTCTATCCACTCCTAATCTTTGTAGATTTTCCATTCTATGTTTATGTGAAAATGGCTTTTAAATATTATCATTGCTCGTGAATTATGACTTCTGAGCTGGCAATTGTTAGCTTTTTTGTATGTTGGTCTTATACTCTTATGTCAGGATTCCTCTTGGCATGATTGATGTAGTCTGCCACATAGCTGTAATGTGAGTCGACGTATGGTAATAGGATTTTGTGAACGATATGGATCATAAGCTAAGTGTACTTATTTTCATTTTCTTTGATTGTGTCTTCTTCTTGATAGTTACTATGTCATGATGCTGATCTTCGGTTTAATTTATCCTACCATACTTTTCAGAAAGTGTCCTCTTCATGTCACAATGCTGATCTTCGGTGATTGATTCTTTTTAGTTTATGCATGCACACATGCTTCTTTGACAGCTTTAATATGCTAATTTTAGAAATATTAATTGCTAATGCATGCTAGCTCATACTTTATTTGGACTAGGTAATGAATTGAGTCTAAAAAAGCAGGTGAAAAAATGATCATTGTTTTCATAGCTAGATTGTTACTTGAAAAATCTACTATTTAGACTTTGTGTTGGTCGGTGTTATACTGTTATGATAAGCTGGACGTCATTTGGTTGTATCCACTCTTCATTTCATGTTCTACTATCTTTAAACAGGGATTTTTTGTTGAGGATGATGGTTATAGGGCTTATAGCTAAATGGTTATTGATGCATGCAATCTTATGTTGGATTAAAGTGAAATTGAAGATGGACTTCTCAAACTAGAGTTGTGAGATATGTTCTGAAACATATTCTGCTTTAGTTGAAAAAAAAAAAGAAGACTTTGAGGAACATCAGTTTTGACACCACGTAGGTGATGGTTCAAGAACATGAAAGTAAACAATGAGATGAATTTCTTGTTCCTCAATAGCTCAATGGTAGAACAAGTCTGTCAAACTTTCCTGTATATCTGATCACAAGTTGAATCTAGCATTTCTACCATTGCATTATCAGGCATTCTGAAGTATGAGACCTATAAAGATAACTCTTAGCTGGAACACTTCGGTATCAATTACTCTTGGAATGACAGATTGACAGGTAGTCAAACTATTAGTCATTTGATAAGAGTTAAAAGAGGATACTTGTTCATTTTTTATAATGTCAAGCATTATTCCTATGTTAGCATTTCTAATGCCAAGAGTTTAGCTCCTATCTGCAAAGGACCTGGAAAACTTTGAACTCTTCTTTACAACTGTAAGTATTGATGCTTGATGTTTTATGCGTTAGGCAGTAGTTGGTAATCTTGGTCTGTGGTTTCTTCTCATGAAAATTTGCAGATTTGATTGGGCTGCAGTAAAGACCCATGTCCATTGTTGGATAATGCTATTATCATTATTAGTTGCTATATATCTCTTGGAATACTGGCTTTTTGTCTCCTTTTATGTGTTAGTTTTTATCTGTTTTTGGACTGAAAATGCATTAATGTGCTCTTCTATACCACTGTCCTCCCTCCCCGTGATCAATCAGTTGCAGAGGGGGTGTCGTTTCAAATATTTGTGACAGTAGGCTTTTATATGTATCAGGTATACTAATTGCATAACTTGTGTTGAGGATTGATGAACATAGAGTATAAGATTCTGGCCCTTCCTTTTATTTGTAATGGGTTTGCACCAGTCATGTGTTTTTAGTTTGAGAGAAGTTTTAGGACTGACAAGGTTGCATGCTGCTGCATTGAGATTGGAAGTGACATTGGGATGGAGAAATTCATGTTGAAATAGGTTCACAAATATAGTTTAATTGTCAAAGAATATGTTCTAGTGCCCTCATGTTTTCATCTTTTATCTTTTACGGGGTACCATTGCTTGCAAACTAAGCTTTAACTGTCATATGATAAAGAGGGCAAGGCAGTTCATGTCAGCTGTTCATTTAGTTTCATTTTTAGTGCGTTGTACTCTGCTTCTTAGGTATCCCTTATATGAGCAGTCTTTGATGCAGTCGTATCTTCCTTCTATCCACTTTAAGATTAATCATATTGCTAGATGTTTTGTTTGTCTCTGAAACCTCTGAAGCTGTGCATTGGTTGTCTTGCATTTCCTTATGAGAATTAATCGGCCCATCAACAATGTCGGGTATACATGCCTGATCTTGTAAAATTAATACATTATGATACACTCTGCAGTTACTTTGGAAATTTTCAAATGCTGGAAGGCTGCCAAATGATGATGCTTGTAAACAGGCTGACAAGAGGTTCCAGAAGCAGTTCAAAAGGCAACATAAACCAGATGAAGTTTTCCCTGAGAAAAAGATGCTGAACAAAGGTTTAAATACTGAAGCACTGCAGGATAAGCTACCTATAATGAACCATAAAAATGCTACTGATCTAGAAGAGGGTCAAATACCTGCAGAACCTGAAGCTGAATTTCTCAAGGTAAAGAAGAATGGTCCTGGTCCTGTACACTTAGCTCAGAAAGTCCCTATGAAAGAAAAATCATTTCGTAATCAGAAACCTGTGGGTCAGAATGGTGCTTGTGTATACGATGAGAACCGAATACTTGAGACTAAGGCGAAGATGGAGAAGAGAATGGAGCGCTTTAAGGAGCCCATACCTGTGAAAACAGATACAGATCCTGACCCTAAGCCAGAAGGTGATAGACTAGCTGAAACGGCTGAATCCAAGGGACAACGGCCAGCAAGAAAAAGGAAATGGGGTGGAAGCTGAGGTACTGATTTTCTTTGGTGTAGTTTTATATAACAAAGACAATAAACATAGGATGAGTTTCATATCACAATAAAACATTTACTTATTCTTGTGTAAATTTTTGGTGGAAATTGACAGTAATTTCATTTGCTATCAAATAAATTTATTAGTAAATGCTCGTATATTTGTTCTGCATAAATTTTCCCTGCTTCGTGATCATATATGTAGGTGATTCACTGATCTGTCTCTTAGCCTCTGTGTGCTGTGTTGGTGTGACAAATCACTCAATTGCAACACCAATCACTGGCTTTTCAGAATTGAGGCACATGGATAAGTTATGGCAATTCGACTTTGCTCTCCTCACTTGAAATCTACTAAAGTGAAATTATTTACAGTAGATTTTTGAGTATGGATTTGGATTTTGGAGTAACTAAGTTATAGTTGAGCAAAATGCTAAATAGCACTGAACTAGTGTTGCCACGATTTTTCGATCTAGATCGTGGTTCTTTAAACACCTTTTATTGCCAAGAAAACAAGGCAAACTTTTGCTTTCGATGGTCAAGCAATTGTTATTATATTTGTAAATCTCTCGAAGAAATATTAAGTAGAGCTAGTAAAGTTGACCTGGAATGACAATATGATATGATAAAAAGGGTTAGTGTTGAGCAATTTAGCCCCTTAATTCAAATTGATCCGTACAACTTTGTTGTTAGTAAATGTGTTGAGATATTGTTGTGATTTCAAATCAAAATTGACACAATTTACACTATTTTGAAACGCCTAAAATAGAATATGGGATTAACATTTTGCAACTACACTTTGAGTAGGAAGTTAGGGCTTGTCACACATAAATTTATGAAACGATGTAGCAACTGGGTACAACTACAAGGAATTAATCGTTGTTATAATTTTCTTGGCATTTTACTTTATTCATGTCAGCTCAACACACACATTTGTTTAATTTTATCTAAGAAGTAATCAAGTGTTCAAACACAAACAATGAATTTAGTCAAATTAGTACAAACACAAATTTGACATGACATGACACAACATGATACGATACAACCTACTTATAAGCTTTATATTTTTGGAAAAATTGATATTAATAATCCCAACTTTGCTCCATTTTCTTTTAATAATCCCAATTTTGGATTATTCTAGAATAATCCCAACTTTGGGGGGGGGGGTGTTTGCTTTCTTCAATCCCAATGACCGATTACCTGTTGAATGGTTTTTTTTTTTCTGTAAATGACACGTGGAGCAATTTTCTTGGTTAAAAAAAATTTCAAAAACAAAAAAGAAATTAAAAAAAAAAGAACAAAATTTAAAAAAAAAAACCCACCCAGCCAAACTTCACGCCCAACCAATCAGCCACCAGAACCTAGACGTCAGCCAGCTGCCGCCACCCTCTCTTCCCCTGTGGCATCGCTATTCCCCCTCCCCTGCGTATAATAGGTCATTGACTTTTGTTGACTGATTTGAGATTGAAAAAAGCAAACATCCCCCAAAGTTGAAATTATTCTAGAATAATCCAAAGTTGAGATTATTAAAAGAAAATAGGGCAAAGTTGGGATTATTAATATCAATATCAATATCAATTTTTCTATATTTTTTTGTCCATTTAAAACCAAACCTAAAAATGAATTAAAAAAAACATTCCTACACCTAGGGTTTAACCAACCAATAACAACATATAATCAATTTCATTGTTTAAACTGTAAAGACTACTGTTTTTTATAAAACAATGTATTTGTTGGACATATCTAGTTATAATTTAAATAATTTTGTCTGGGATTGAGAATCAACAAACCGACCTTAGCTCAGTTGGCAGAGCGGAAGACTGTAGTGGGTTTAAAGCCTTCCGGTATCTTTAGGTCGCTGGTTCGATTCCGGCAGGTCGGATTTTTTTTCCCTCTATTTTTTTTTTTTCCTTATTTTCTTCCTAACCCTTTACTATTTCACTGCCCACTTTCCAAGGAAACCCAATTCAACGTCTTTTGCAAATTCAATTGTCTGATCCAATAATTTTGCTTTTCTGAGAAGAATTTAGCAAAATCAAAATTCCCAATTATCTATGGTATGTCTTCTCTAGTCTACCAAACCAGATTAAAAATTTGATCTTTTTATCTGGGTTCATCATTTCTTGTTACTATTATCTCGCATAATTAAGAAATTTGATGTAATTTATTATTTTTCTGCAATCTCTCTCATTGTTAGTTTAAACCAATTATAATTAATATGGTTAATTATATGTATTTTATCTCTCAGTTCTATTGAATGGCATTCTCTTAGATTAAGTTTCAAATGTGATTGTTTAATTTCTTATTATAATATATACTGTGGTGCTGGATTGATGACGTATATATAATCGACAATAATTTTTAAATAATATAGGAGAAAATGGAAGTCATGCTAGAAGAACATGTTTTGGATCTTAGTTCAACTACCCCAAGTCTTTGTTTTGAGAAACTTTATTGTTCTCAATAAAATTTTGTTTTTTGTGTGTGAATAATTTCAAGGATGTCTTCCACTGCAGAAAAAGTAAGTACGTCTAGATCTGGGTTTTTTGATAGGAAATTGTTATGTGATTATGTTGGATGAATTGTTGGGTTGTGCTTCTTGTATCAAATTTTGTTTTTTTTTTGGGGGTCTTGAGGTTTATTTGGAGAGCTGCTGTCACAGGTTTAATATTAGTTTTCTATGCTGGTTGCATTTATTCGTATTTCCGAATGCCGGATGCAATGAGAGTGTGAGATTGATGAAAATTTGTGGATTTTGAGATGCCTCGCATATGATGAAATTTATATATTGGTCGATAAATACTTGATGTTTAGGGGTTGAGTTTGTTGATGTGTCAAGTTAAGTTGTAGCTGGCAGTGCCGATGGTGTTGTTAACTTGCTTGTTGGATGTGCAGGCTAACACAATGCGGTTGTATCTGACTTGCATAAGGAACACTTTGGAGGCTGCTATGTGTCTACAGGTATTTCTGATTTTCTGCATTGATTTTTATGTTCTTTATTGATGTTGCTGAAATATTTTCTGCTTTTTTGGAGGATTCACTGTGTTGTGGTGTGTTTGTTGCAGAATTTTCCATGTCAAGAAGTAGAAAGGCATAATAAACCAGAAGTTGAAATGAAGTAAGTGACTTTGACATAGTATCTTTTCTTCTCTTGTTAGCTTTTGGGGTTTTTCAATGGTTTTTTACTAGATCTTTTCGAGCTAAAATGATCATATGTAATGTCTGAAAATTATTCTATCCTCGTGTTCATGTCCTTAGTAAATTTTACTTCTACAATCTTCATGAAGTTTGGCCTATCCATTTCAGATAATGGTCCATTACTTCATTTACTTAGAAAGCTGCACTTTGGTTCTTATATTTCTAATTTTTCTTTTCAGGACGAGCCCTGAGCTTCTACTAAATCCTGTAAGAAGATTTCCTATATTCAGTAAGACTGCAGTTTCTTGAGTAATATCCTGAGCTACTATATTTATCTGCCTTTAAGTCCTATCCTCATGTCTTTGCTTTCTTAAATGTGCCCTCGGATTAGGTTTTCACTCTATCCCATAAACACATCTGTTTGCGACATTATTGTTTCAGTGCATGTGTTAAGTTGCATCTATCTGGACTGTAAGCATTTTGTAGCTGTTTCAGCTTTTCTGTCATGGCCTTCTGACTTCTTTATCAAATTAGCTACTTCGGCTAGCAATGGTGGTGGTCTCATTTGGCTGCTAATTCGAATGGATTCTTCTGGATGCCATTTTTTTTAGACCAAGGCAAAGCGCATGTTTTTTGGGATGTCATTTTGATGACTCTTCCTAATTACATTGCCATTGAAGCATTGGACATTGGAGTGTAATTCTTTATTGTCTGTTGGAGATTTGAGGCTTCTTAGAGTTGAAAGCTGGGACCCAAGCTTAGGAAATTATTAAGGAAGCTCTGGAATATTTCTTCAGATCTTCAAACTAAAAGACTGGGGAGCTAGCAATTTTATGAGGATGGCAATGTGAAACTCTCAGTCAAAATGGGGCATATCATTTTCATTTATGTAGGCGGTGTTAAAATCTTTATCATCTTTCATCCTGCAATGTGATTAGCATGAGTACTAACAGCCTGAGAACTTGAGAAGTCTAGCTGCTGAAGGACTGTTCTAGAAGGGGAATTTTTTTTCCAGGAGAACCATTGACAAAAACTGCTAGTTATGTATCCTACTCCGGGTCATATTAGTTATAGTTGTTTGTTGCTTAGCATTCATGGTGCATGAAGCGGTTATCTTTGCTTATATGTATGGAAGTTGCTAGTTTGTATGTTTTGTGTCACTCTTTCCACTCATTCTTTGTATAATTATGTCTTTGTGGATGTTTTTGCAGGTAATGATTTGTAGAAACGAGGCTGAAAAGTGTTTGATAGAAACATCAATAAATTCCCTAAGAATTAGCCTTAAGGTGGCTATGTTTTCTCAGTTTTATGGATTATTTAGTTAACTTAAGGTTGGTCTCATAAGTAAATTCATTCTGCGCCATATTATTTTTTATGTTTACAGGTAAAACAAGCTGATGAACTTGAGAATATACTAGCCAAAAAGTTCCTTAGATTTTTGTCGATGAGGGCTGAAGCTTTTCAGGTTCTGAGGAGAAAACCTGTACAGGTATCATATTAATGTTCAGCTTCTGCAAATTATGAGTAAACAAAACGATCTGGCAATCGCTTGCTGATTCATGTGTATGCTGATTTGAACTGTGAATGATGTTTCATTTTCCAACAGACTAAATAGTAACATTGTACGACCACTTTATTCACGTTTGCAGGGATATGACATTAGCTTTCTCATCACCAATTTTCATTGTGAGGAGATGCAAAAACAGAGACTTATAGATTTTATTGTGCAGTTTATGGAGGTAAGACTTTTTTTCCGTTAATTCCCATTTGATATCATGGTTATATGATTCTTGTGTGTAGTGTTAGTTTAAATATCTCTCCTAACCAATTTCATGCTGTTAAAAGCCCTGTATTTAGCCATCTTTCTATAGATTAATAGTTGGCTTCCTCAGAATAAATTACACGTCTTGTCAAATGTACTTCAACAACTTAAAAGACATATACGCTCAACTCTTTACCAAAATTATGTGTCATGCCACATTTGATAAAAGAATTCATGCCTTTGTATACCATTTTAGTCTTTCAAACAGCTAAGGCTAACAATTGTGCCTTGCATCTAGATAGCCAATCAAATCGAATCACAATCATCTATCCAGACTTACAAACAGCTTTATGCGTTTAGCTAACCTTTCTCGGTCAAATAAGGTCTATATGTGATGCTAGCGGTGGACTATTACCATTGCAAGAGGCCAATATTTGGAGCATAGGAACAAAGATGTGTCTATATCCATTTCAGGATATTGAGTTATTGACCTTAGTCACCTTACTTCATTGTGCTATCCCAACTTGTTTCTTCTGTTGGGTTAATAGCCAAGCCCTGTATATTTGAATTAAAGTTGAGCAACTCGTTAAAATTTAAAGCTTGACCGAGGTCTGAGGAATTCCCCAATCAGTAACCAATTTTTTTTTTGGTGAGCCTTGTTCTTTCAGTATTGAAGTGTGGTTGGCTTCGGACTCTGACAAGTGACATCGTGATTTGTTACCAAAAAATTCACAAAATAAAGAAGTTACATGATTGCTTACTAAATTTTTTTTCTCAATTAAAATTGCAGGACATTGATAAAGAGATCAATGAGTTGAAATTGTCAGTAAACACTCGGGGGAGGCTTGTGGCTACTGAATTTCTTAAGCAATTTGTATGAAGGAATCAGTATCGAAGCTTGGTAGTTTACAAGACATGGTAATAAGCACTCAAAAGTGCAATTCCTAAATTATAAATGGTTTGTCTTTATTCTTCACCCATGTTAAATCAAATCCTCCCATCTTGCAGGTGATACAGCTACCTCAGCTGGCAAAGGAGCTGACTAGTACTGTGCTAATGAACATTCCGCTTTTTCACCAAACGATTGAAAAGAAGCAGGGAACTCGGATAAAATCAAAAGGAATTCCCGTTACCTTCATGGGGTCGAATGTGGTATCTTGCATTATGTGATATTACAGAATTTTAACTATTAGTTGTAAATTTGTATGTTCGGTTTGTTGCTTTACAATACTAAGTAGACAGCATTACAATATACTCCGTAAGGTACAAATGATGAGAAGTTGCTGAATTCTTGACATCAGTTTTCAAAGTTTAACCTTCTGGTTTTGGTGCAAAATTACGGATGTTAGATTCTTTCTTGATCTCTCTTTGATGATGACTTGCTCAAAGAGGTCATTTCTCAAGGGTGTCCAAGAAGATGGATTGAACTGTGTTTCATTTCTACTTCTTTGTCCAAATTTTATTTTCTTTTTGTTAGGTTGAAATTAAATCAATCCACTTTTATGTCGAACACCCAAGTAAAGGATGAAAGTTCTTAATGTCTGAAATTGAGATTAATTCAAATCTTTTTGTTTTGCCCATGGCCCCAAGTACCCTACAACTTCATAGTTTTTGCTTTACGGGCACACCTAAAGTTAGGTTCACAATTATTATTATTAGTGTTGTTCTTATGGAGTAAATGAGTACGAGGTATCTATCCTTTGGAATGAACAAAGTTACAAATAGAGCTAGGTATGGGCTAGGCTGACACGAAAAATGACCTAACCAGGCAAGAGCCCATCCCAAGTCTGATACGACTCGACATTAGATTGATGGCCATGTCCTATACATGAAAATCATTTTTGAATTTTGGCATGAGCTCGACATGAGTATGATGGGTTTGCTTGCGTATTGGCTTTTTTTATATTTGACCAACTTACTAAAAATGTAGATATTCTTTAAGAGGTCTGCTGGCACGGTATGACCCGACAACCACATGTTGCCAAGTACTCCGTAGTACATTGGACGAGTTTGGCACCCGACTTATTTTTGGCTCGTTCCATGTAGCCCGCTTAAGTACGTGACATTGACACGCTAGCATAGCACATTACTACATTAGCACATGTAAACCTGCACGGCCCGGTCTTGTAAGAATTGTAACCATTGTGAAAAAAAAGAAAAAAGAAAAAAAAAACTGCCACGTTTGGCTGGCTCTTATGGTGGGAACTGGGAAGTCTGAAGATCAAGTGAGCAATGCAATGGGCAAGAAGATTAAAGGTTGATATCTAGCCAACAAGCGACTGCCACGTACATGAAAAAATCTAAACATTCATAAAATCTCATTCCTTATTTATCTCCTCCTCTCATTAGAAACAGTTGTTATTTCGACCTCCATTTAAATGTCACATTACCAGTAAATGTCATTAAGATAAGAGAAAATTTTCCGTTAAACCTTTTTACGGAGTAAAGTTTTAAGTTTAACCTTATGCAGTTGTATTACTATGTAGGAAGCCATACAATTATTCCATCACCTCAACCTCCGACTATACTTGTGCGTAAGGATAGTTGAGGTGTACTAAAAGCCACGTAAGAAGCTCCCGCCTAAAGTAACTTCTATGAACACACTCACACCACATACACTTTCAATCCGTTAAAAAAAAAACAGAGGAGAGAGAAAATGCAACTCTTCTCTTCATCATCTTCAACCTCAACTTCAACCACAATTTTCTTGAATTCCTCAAAACAGTCCTCCAAAACTAGATTATTTCCAATCAAGTCCCTACAATCTCCTCCTTCGCACCTCACTGTACCTTCCTACACCTCCTCTTCTTCATCCTCTTCCAACAATGAAGTCTCCCCTGTTTTACAGGAACCCAAACTCGATGAGATTTCATCTAGGAGAGAGAATTTGGAGCAACTCCTTGTTCGCCGTCCGATGATTCAATCGGACGGCGGAGGTGAGGAGAGAGAAAGTGGTGGTGACGGAAGCAGTAGCGATGAGGATGAAGATGAAGACGAGGATGAGGAAGAGGAGGAGAAGAAGTCGGCGTTGGATCGGAGTTTGGAGAAGTTTGCGAAGAAGTTGCCGATATTTGAACCAGGTAGAGGTCAAGAAGGGGATGAAAATGGTGAAGTTATTGAGAAGCCATTGAAGATTAATTTGGATTTAGCTTTGTATAAAGCTAAGATTTTAACTAGGAATTTTCAGTTTGATGATGCTGAAAATATACTGCAACAGGTATTATTTATGCTGTATTAAACTCGAAATTATTTGTTGTTTCTTTATTTATTTGTTATTATATATTTGCGTTACGGTTTATAAATAAGGTTATGCATACATTCTTAGAAAATGTTGGCTGATGAAATGATATTTTAAATTGACGAACAGTAGTGTCATGACTCAGACACTCTATGCGAACCATGAGCATTAAATTTTTTAATGATTTAATATTGAACGGGAAAAGTTAATGTAGTGGTTAAATGAAAGAAAATTGTAACTAAATTGAAACTTGTTTAACATTGATTACTTTTAGAGAATTTTTTTCACATTTGTATCCATTAGTGGTCGTTTGGTTGACATATACAAAGTAAGAAGTATATTGGATTGTAAAGTGGGAAATATAAAGTTGTTTAGTAGGCAAATCGGAAATAGGCTCTAGTTTCCACATCTTGAGAAAATTGTTTCCGGAGTGCCTAACTTCGTTTAGGCAAGTAGAGTTTTTTTATAATTCTATTGCCTATTACCTCGCTAAGATAGTGCCTTTCAGTGTTGAACAACTTTCAGATCGCTGCCCTGCTAATATTAATGGACAAATTGTCCCTTGATTAATAACAAGGCACTAACATTTTCAATATTAAAGAACTTCCCAAATGAAGTAAATTAGTTCTTATGAAAAACCAAGTATTCAGAACATTAAAGGAATACAATCTATACAATATTCTAAAATGGCTGATATGTTGGGATAGAATGTTAGACTTATAGTAGTAATGATTTGATTTGGTTATGTTTGAAGTGTATATACTATTGGCCTGAAGACGGGAGGCCGTATGTGGCATTAGGGAAGGTACTAAGGAAGCAATCAAGAATAACTGAAGCAAGAGCTGTTTATGAAAAAGGCTCTCAGGCTACTCAGGGTGAAAACCCTTATATCTGGCAGGTTTGTTCAGATCTACTATTCCGAATACTAGCAGCTTTATTCAGTAATAAGTTGTATCCAATATTTTTCCTATATTATATATTGCAGTGCTGGGCTGTGCTAGAAAGTGACTTGGGAAATACAAGGAAAGCAAGAGAACTATTTGATGCGGCCACAGTTGCTGATAAGAAGCACATTGCAGCGTGGCATGGATGGGCAGTTTTGGAGCTAAAACAAGGTAATATTAAGAAGGCTAGGAATCTTCTTGGCAAAGGTATTAAATACTGTGGTGGAAATGAGTACGTATACCAGACTCTCGCGTTGCTTGAAGCTAAGGCTAATCGCTATGAGCAGGCCAGCTACTTGTTTAGACAAGCCACAAGGTGTAACCCCAAAAGCTGTGCTAGTTGGCTTGTAAGTGTTTGGTTTCCCTGTTCGTTTGATTTTTGTTTATTTACCTGTCATTCAACTCGTATCAATTTCTGCATTAAAGCAATGAATATTAATAATCTTTAACTCTGTTCATAGAGGTTATTATGCTGAAACTTCCTATGCAACTCTTGTCTTTCCAAAATCAGGCCTGGGCACAGTTAGAGATGCAGCAGGAAAACAATCAAGCTGCATGTTATTTGTTTGAGGTAATTGATCATAACAATGTGGAATACTATGAATCATGATGAATTACACAAAATCTGTGGATTACTCCATTAATTTCTAACTGCAATTTACATTTTCAGAAAGCTGTTCAGGCTAGCCCAAAAAACAGGTTTGCCTGGCATGTATGGGGGCTATTTGAGGCTAATCTTGGAAACATTGACAAAGCAAGAAAAATTCTAAAAATAGGTCATCTTGTAAACCCGAGGGATCCAGTACTTCTTCAGTCTCTTGCTTTGCTGGAGTACAGGCACTCCACTGCAAATGTTTCCAGGATTTTGTTCAAGAGGGCATCAGAGTTGGATCCAAAGCATCAACCCGTCTGGATTGTAAGAGGAGCCTCACCTACCCTTTTCATGTTTTTTTTGTTATTACTCGTAGTTTGCCTACAAAGTGACTAATTATGTATGCTGCTATTCAGGCCTGGGGTTGGATGGAGTGGAAGGAAGGTAATGTATCCACTGCAAGAGAGCTGTACCAGAAAGCTCTATCTATCAACTCAACGACAGAAAGTGCTGCTCGTTGCCTTCAGGTAACAATCAAATTTGATATGCTACTTCAGAAAACCATGCTTTCTGTATAACTTGTAGTAAAGGCTGATAAATTACATTGCATCTACTTTTTGCACTTCAAATAGAACTGGTGTATATATGTTTCAGGCGTGGGGCGTTCTGGAGCAAAAAGTTGGAAACCTGTCTGCAGCTAGGAGATTATTCAGATCGTCTCTTAACATAAATTCACAAAGCTATGTGACATGGATGACTTGGGCTTCGTTGGAGGAGGATCAAGGGAACTCTGTGCGTGCTGAGGAAATCCGTAACCTCTACTTCCAGCAGGTCAGTAACTGGCAGTCTGGCTTAGGGTTTGATGCTCATATACACAGATGCTGATGATTCTGGTTCTAATCAAGCTTAGCTTAGCCAAATAGGATCCCTATATCAATATTATACATGATCTAATATATACAGAGAATACTACTGTCCTGTCAATTTCATACTCAGTCCTAAAACAAATCAACATATTGCATTATAGGATGTTTGAAGTTGAGTGACCCATTTCTAGCAAGGTATCTACTATTGTTTCTCAAGCGTTAGGTTCACCATTCAATCACTTACTTCATTTTGTCTTTTTAACATCCTTGATCTCGAATTAAATAGAACATAGATGGAAGTAATGAAATGTTTTTATTTTTGCCAGAGGGAGTATTATATATTTACATATTCTCCAAGTACACTTTGGTGTTTTTAGATAGCTTACTACTCCGTACTCCTTAGTACTCTAATTTTTTTTCCAATGAAAACAATCTAACTTATAAAACCTGGAGATACTACTGTTTTGGAAACATAAGGCATAGTTTATGCTCTGATCCTGCTGTACATGGTTTCTTATTCAATTATACCTATCTTTGACAGCGCACAGAGGTAGTAGATGATGCCTCCTGGGTGAACGGGTTTCTAGACATCATTGATCCAGCACTCGATAGCATAAAGAGACTCTTGAATTTAGAGCAGGATCCATTTGGAAAGACCCCAGATTCATCAGAAGTAAAGGACAATGATGAAGGATCATCGCCCTCATCAGAGGTAAAAGATGCTAGGTATAAGAGTGGTTTTGACTTGGATGCATTCATCAAAGAAAAATTTTCCCTTGACCCAAACAAACTCGATGACCAAATGGAAACATCATTGTTGTCCATAGCAAAAAGTAAGGAACAAAGAACTGCATTCAGACCAAGGCAAAGATACAAATAGTTGTTGCCTTGGAATAATTTGAAGTCCATAATCTTGCTTTGTATAGTATGATAAGAAAAATTCATTTGATGAGCTGTGCATAAATTGTAAGGATACAGAAAACTCTATTCTTGTTACTGGAGAACATAGTCGCATTTCAACAAAATTCCATTTGTTCTAAGCATCAACTTGTGTAAAGAAAGACGTATTCTTTTCCTTTTCTCACCAAATTTAGTCAAACTAGTTCTCCAGAGCGTAATGATCAAAGATATTTCTGCCATCTCAATTATACAAGTTTCCAATAATTAGAGTTATGATGATGATTGTATGATTGTATGATGTCTAAACACCGGCCATTCATGAAAACATTCGAGGAACATTACAGAACAGTAAATCAGACTAATTCTTAAAAACTGCAAATGATACATAATTTAAATAAAGCAAAGGCGATACATAATTCTCTACTGAAAAACATAACACCAACAAAAGTTGATTGTAATCAGATGAAATGTCGAAAAAGAAACAAGTAGCTTATCCGACCAAACGAAAGAGAAAACGTCAAGTCATGTAGGCTTAACATATACTCCAATAGACGTGAGTCTAGTACTTATAAAACCAGGATTACCAAAAGTGCCATGAAATCCACCAAATTGATTCTTAAATTCTTTCTCGCCGGCATTAGGCTTTCCAGAAGGTCCATAACTATTCTTGTTAGTTTCAATTGTCAACGATGAGATCCACTTGTCACTACAATTATGATAATCATACAAATTACCTTTAAGCCCTGTGATATACTCACTTGGGCCGTCAAGTGTTACCTATAATACAATATTGTCGATGTTAATAATTATATTAACTTTCATGTTTGTCATACAATATTGTCAATGTTAATAATAATATTTTAACGTAATCAGAGTTGAAAGTAGGGGAAAACCGTAGTAAAGATGGGTGCAGGTGAATCATATTCGCCATAAAGAGGAGAAATTCCAGGAGTTACACCATCCTGATATCTAAATTGCAAGGATGCAATATGGCCAAATTGAGAATAATTAGCACAATGTGAAATAAAAATGTGAGTTATAATCTTCCTTGTCTCATCCCAGGCTGTACAAGAATCAGACTGGACCCGTTTTTATAAGGGTTGTCAAATCTGAAAAACATAAAAACAACCACGCAAGTTAGTTTAAGATTAAGATCGAGCATGAGCATGAGCATGAGCATGTACGTAATAGAAATTGTCATTTTAAACAAATAAAATTGTGCAGAGAGGACTCGATTAGTCTAGTCAGTAATAATCGGGAAATAATGAGTTGACATTTATCGTCTAATATCGATTTACAAGTTTTCAAGAGAAATACATCAATAATAAAGGAATAAAATGATGCAATATGATGATGAAAGACTTTAAAAACTCACTTCCACGTTCTTGAGACATACTTAAAATTAATACTATATGATCACTTATTTACAAGCTTTAGTTGGATAGAGTAAGAATGAATAAATGAACCAACTCATTTATAGTGGTACGTACCTTAGAAACGCTAATCAAACAAAACGTTAACGGAATAGTATTGGCAAACGAACAGTCTAATTACATTGAATTTTTTCCAATTCCAACATATTATGGGAACTTAACCCTCTAATAAATACAGTATTTAGATTCTTTGAATCCCAAATCCCCAACTATCAGCCTGGTTATTATTTTCAACTCCGTAGTGGTTTGGGTTGAATTCATAGTAGTAAGTTTTAATGTTTTTTCTTTTTTTTTTCCTTAACTACTTTGTACTCCGTAACATTTAATTATGGATTGCAAATTACAAGATAAGGCCTTGTTTGATTCCACATTTATAATGCATGGGGGAAATAAAAATTTATGGGAAGTGCATTTATGAGTTGTTGTTTGGTTAACACTTATATGGGAAGTGGAAATTACTTGGTAAATGGAAATTCCTACAAAAAATAGGAATTCAATTACCCCATTATACCTTGGTCAATCAAATTTCCCTTGTTTATTTTTGCACGAAATTACATTCTTACCCTTGTTTACCCTCTAAAATTGAAAAAGGTGGGATGAAATTACATTCTTACCCTCTATAATAATTGAGAAATGTTCTTATAATATATGAGAATTACATAGTGTTAACCAAGCAAATCATAGGAAGTATATTCATGGGAATTACAAATTCCTTTATGCTAACTACACAAGATTATAACATTTCCTATGAATTCTAATTTCCCATGAATTTTAATTGCCCATGAGAATCTACTTCCCATATGCAACCAAACAAAGCCTAAGTGTGTGAAAATTCCCTAAAAAAAAAAAGGTAAGTGTGTGAAAAGCACTTAATTTAATTAAAAAAAAAAAAAAAAAAGTTATGGAATACTACTACAGAACTACATAAGTATTCTCATTCCCAAATTCAAATCTATATCTATATCTATACTTCTATACTTAGTATTTAAAAACACAAATCATCAAGCCTATCATGCAACATGTAAACTTCATTTTTCACCAATGTCACATGCCACTTCATTTAAATTACGCAATTTTTTGTATGCGGCGTGCTGTACCGTGCGGCAAAGGTTACTCGAGTTTATCGGTCAAGGTTACTCGAGTTCCTAGGGTTACTCGAGTTTCTCGGTTAGGGGTTACTCGGTCAGGGGTTACTCCAGTTCCCGGGGTTACTCGAGTTTCTCGGTCAGGGGTTACTCAAGTTACTTGGTCAGGGGTTATTTGAGTTACTCTTAACCGAGCAACTCCTGACCGAGTAACACCTCGAGTAATCCATGATCGAACCCCTCGAGTAACCCCTGACCGAGTTACTTCCTCAAGTAACCCCTAACTGAGTAACCCCTCAAGTAATCCCTGACCGAACCCTCAAGTAACCTTTGACCGAACTCCTTCAGTAACCCCTGACCGAATTACTCGAGTAACCCCTGACCGAGTAACTCGAGTAACCCATGACCGAGTAACCCCTAACCAACTTGAGTAACCCTTGACCGAGTAACTCGAGTAACACTTGACCGAGTAACCCTTGACCGAGTGAACCCCTCGAGTAACCCCTGTCCGAACCCCTCAAGTAACTCCTGATCGAGTAACTCAAGTAACCCCTAACTCGGGTAACCCCTAACAAAAAATTAAAAAACTCTGGTAACCCCTGACAAAAAAACTCAAGTAACCCCTAACAAAAAAACACTACTGCACCAAAAAGTTGTTGTTTAAATTAACTTTTTTTTTTTTTTTTTTTTAAATCCCCATTCTCATTTATTTTATTTTTTTAAAAAAAACTAGCCTTAATTTAATACATGTATGAATGCTGTTTGGTTCACTTTCCCCCAATTTAATATCTTCTACAATTGTATTTTAACTTTTACCCCTTCTTCTCCTTTAAAAACTATTCATTTTCCAATAAAACCGTATTATAAAAAAAAAATTATATTATATACCTATAAACAACCCGTGCATTGCAAAGATCAGAAGGCTAAATATTGCTAAAATGCTAAGCTACCCGAGTATCCGACGATATTCAGCTTCAGTCCATAAGCAGCGTGTTTGCCGCGCGTATTATGTGTTGTTACTTTACCATAGTTGTTTTATTATGACAATCATAAGATCAGAGTTTATTGTTGTGCATTTATCAATGGTAACAATTCCCCTGAATCCTCTGCATATATATACTAATAAAGCAGAGTTGTCGTCTATCATATAACTTATATATATAAAGCTAAATTTTTACTTAGGCCACGAAATAACGACATTTGGCGTTTTAACTTTTCGCCAAGTGTCGTGTCATGTTGGCGACACGCTATTATGGTAAATAAAATTAAAAAGTTATTTAAATTGTTTAGGATAGAAGAATTATTGAGTTAAGATAAAAAAAGAAGTTATTATTAAAATTTTATTTTTAAAAAACAAGTTATTTTCAAATTTAGGATAAAAAGTTATTAAGAAAGTTTTATGTATGGAAAACGTATACGTCATGACTTGATTATATTTGAAAGTCTTCATCATAAGTCTATTACCTTTACTTTCTATTAAATTACATTTATCCTTTGTAGGTAAAAATAAAAAAATAAAAAGGAAAACGAAAATTCTATCATGTACTCCATAAAACCGTAAGGAACTAAAATTATTATTGTCCTCCCTAAATTAAGTGTAATTTCTATTAGTCTAAAGTAGATTAGTATTAGAGTACTAAAAATTTAAGATTACTCAAATTAATTTAAAAAAATCATCTTTTATACATGGTAAAATTATATAATTACACTATCCTACATAATTTTATTTATTATAATCAAAGTAATATAAGAATTCTATTCCTACAAGAAAACTAATTAAATCCAACTAATATAAGAATTATACTCATATGAGAAACACAAATTGATATTTATATAAACCCTCAAACCTCACCCTTTTTTTTAACATTTAATTTCTGCACACGCACTCTCTTGCTCTTTAACGCTCAATTTTTACACACCCAATTTTTATATAAAGCTAAACTTTTAGCTAGGCCACGGACAACGACACTTGGCGTTTCAACTTTTGCCCAAGTGTCGCACCACGTAAACAACAATTAAATATTAGTATGACATGTAGGATTTATTTGGTTATATTTTATATGAATAAAAAGTTGTATTTTTTTTAATAGGATAAACACTATGATAGAATAGATGAAACCCGTACGATGCACGATTTGTTTGAATTTTATAAAATAATTTTTTTGTTACTTTATGTGCTAAAATTTGTTATATATTTAGATAAAATTACTAATAAAGATAATATTTTATATTTAGTTAATTTAAACTTAAAAATCTCATTCGTCGATTTTGCTTACGTGGCATTTGAATTATTTAAATAAATTTGGATAGATTAATAGGATAAAATTGTTGGTTTAGACTTTTATTTTCGATAAAATACCTATATTTCACAGGAACAAAATAAATTACAAGTTTAGCTAGCTACCACTAAAATTTATACTCCTACAACGACACTTGACATTTAAACTTTTCACCAAATGTCACGCGATGTAGACAACAATTTAATAATTTTTCATATAAATTATTTTTTAGATCATTATTTTTTTCGGAGCAAAGGAAGTAATTCAAAACGTACATCATTTATTTAATTAGAAGTACATCCTAACCGATTGAAATAAAATATTCACAATCTAATATAATTTTATTACTTTATGTAGAACTGTCAATCGGGTCGGGTCACGAGTCATTTCGAGTCGAGTCACTTCAGGTCACGAGTCAATAAATGTTCACACTAGCCCAAAGTTTCTGGTTCGGGTCAACCCTACAGGCTTAAAACCATTTTTTTACTTTTTATTGTGCTAATATTTAGACATTTCTAATATTTAAAGTTTATTCTATTTTTTTTTTATAATTTTTAAATTAATTATTTTCATTAATATTATTATTAGTCATTACATGCCTACTACATAAATTAAATCGTCACAAAATCATATCAATTCCTAACTAATTTTGTACTAATGATATAATTTTAAAACTTGGTACATAGATAAAAAGTTATGTTAAAATTCAATAAACAATCCGGATATCGCACGGGCACCAAGCAGTGGCGGAGCCACATTAGAACAAGGGGGGGACAGTTGTCCCCCATTTTCGGAAAAAAAGTTTTTTTAAAAAAAAAAAAAAAATCAAGAAAATACAGTAAAAGGCTATAAATAACATATACTTACAGTAGATATCACAATATTGAATATGGTTTGGTGGTTGAGTCCTTAGTAAGGCTGTGCTTTGGTCCTAGGTTCGATTCCCTACTCTACTGTTTTTCAGCTTTTTTGTTTTTTTTTCCCCTACTTCTTGTTTTTTTTATTACATACTCTAATTTTCAACAACCTTTTTAATTTGATTTTTTATTTCCTATTTCTTGTTTTAGGATTTTTAATGTTATTTCTTATTTCCTACTTCTTGTTTTTAATTATCGCTTAACTAAGTGTGCTTAAACTCAATTTTTTTTTTACATTTCTAATAAATAGATTACTATTAATTAATTGTTTGTAACTGTGTTTTAACGAAATACATATTAATAATATGATTGATTTGAAAAAGTTGAGTTTATTTTTTCGAATGTAACTCAAACCCTGGCCCTTCATATCTACCATCAATTTGTTTTAACGATAATTATTTGACTTTATGATAAGGTAATTAATTCGTATTTATCAATTATGTGATTACATAACAGGATTTACAAATATAAATTTATTCATTTTTGTTGGATAATTTTCTTAATATACAATAAAACTTTTTTACCCCTCTTTTTCCATATAGAAATAATTGGCATATGTGATTTCAAATAAATATTAAACAATTTAGGTTATCAATTTTTTTCTTGAGATTTTTGCCGAAACTTTAACCTCCAAAATTTGTCCCCCCGAATTATAAATCCTGGCTCCGCCACTGGCACCAAGCTAGTATGTTATAAAGCAGTAGTATATAACATAGTACAACTTATATCAGTATATGCATAAGCAATATGTGCAACCATTACAAGGGTACAAGTACAAAAGATCGATTACTAATTTGCAATACTATCTTTGTAAAATAATCAATTTTCAGTTGTACCCTCATCCTTTCTTCAAGTTCTAAAAGAATTTTAATTTAATTGGGACGATAGTTGATTAATCTTTTTACTCAATCAATTAACGCGACTTGGAAGTTTCCAAAAGAAAGTGATAAAATGACAAGAATTACATGAGTAGGTAACAAATGAAGGACAACATAAATCAATTCGTTGCTGCTGTGGCCAAAAATAAGTCAATAGGGCTGTGCATACATCATAAGAATACAGAAAATTTGTTGTTGATTGGAGTAAATAGTCATGTTTCAACATATTCTGTTTCGGGTGAAAACAATGGGACCTTGCCGAAGGTCCGCTGAAATGGAGAAGACTGGATTCGGTCCAAGTTGTGTTGGGCCGAAGGTTTCCTGCACAGTAAACACACGTAAACTAG